TACCATACAGACACCCTAATTACTTTTTGAAATATTTTTATTGGTTGGAATTGCATTGTTTTCCGAAAAAACTGATTATAAATAGTTAATTATAGGTTGACTTTTTATAAAAATGTCAATAAGGTGTCTTATTAGCAACACTACAAAAACATGATCGTAATTTGGCTAGTTTCAAAGACAATAGTAATTTTTGCATTTACTTAAAATGGTAGTCAATTTGTTATGGCTATATTTTAAGAAAGGGGTCCCTTTCATGAGCATCCACAAAAAAAACACTTAAATCATCTCAACCATTATTACAACCGAATTTTATTCCAAAAACTTGTACAAGAATTCATTACATAACTTATAAAAACAACATAAATAAATGTAAGTATTATTACACCTTACAACAATTCCCTCGTAATGTTAATCCATTACACTCATACTTCCCAAACCAATCCTCGTAAAATAAAGAAAAATCAATAAATTAGCCAACAATCTTGTAACTCGGATTAACAAGATTATCCAATCCTGCAACCACTTGAACTGATTCTATCACATCTCCCACTTTTAAATCGGCCAAAAAATCCTCATTTTCTGTCACATATCCAAACACTGCATATCTTCCATCCAATATATTCGCATTACTCGGTGTCAATTCACTCTCTTTCAATAGCCAAAACACTTGGCTTGACCCCGAGTTGTTTTCAAATTCCTGTAACAAAAAAAACCAAACCAAACTTATTATTTATTTATTTATTATTATTAGAATAATAATTGTAATGATAATAATTTACCTCTCTAGCCATCGCCATGGTTCCAAATGCATTGAAGGGTAGCTTTGTTTGAGCTTTGTAGAGACCAATGTCCTTCATAATATGCAAATGATATCAGTTAAACTTAACTTAGGTTGTGTTTGGCGTGATACAGCTAGCTTATTTTTCAAGCTTTTTTAAGTTGTCACGTTTGGCATATGCCCAAAAATAGCTTACAACCTAGCTTTTTAAAAAGCTACTTAGACTAGCTTTTCAGAAGCTTTTTTATAATTTTTCAAATAAACCCCTTAATTAATTATAGAAAACATATACTTCTAAATGCCCTTTTATCATTTAATATCTTTCAGCTAGCTTTTCAACTAGTTTTACCAAACGTCAAATTTTATCAGCTAGGCTAGCAGCTAGCTTTTCAGCTAGTTTTACCAAAACGCCAAATTTTATCAGCTAGCTTTTCAGCTAGTTTTACCAAACATCAAATTTTATCGGCTAACTTTTCAGCTATCAGCTAGCTTTTTAAATAACAGCTAGATTTTCAGCTAATAGTTAGCTTTTCAGCTAGTTTTACCAAAACGCCAAATTTTATCAGCTAACTTTTCAGCTAGTTTTACCAAACATCAAAATTTTATCGGCTAACTCTTTAGCTATCAGCTACCTTTTAAATAACAGCTAGATTTTCAGCTAATAGCTAACCTTAAGGTTTGAATCTTAAATGCAAGAATAAATAAATAAATAACACGTACTTCCAATGTTACTCCATAAACAGGAGCTTTTTCACCTTCCACCATAATTTCCAAAGGAATTGTCCGTGTTTTCTCAGTACTCGGATCAATAAAACCCTCAGCAGGACCTTCCGGATCTCCAGTTTGGACAACAAATCCATCCGCTACAATAATAAAATTTTAAAATAATTAAAAAAAGGTACAAAAAGAAAATGTTTTATTAGATATTTAGATTGAGTGAGAGATGATAAAAAAAAAAAAAAAAATCATATGCCTCGTTGGATTTCCATGCCATCATAGAAGTGTCTTTCCACCAAATCTACAAAATTGCCAGCTGTCACAGGCGCATTATAGCCATCAAGAACAATTCTGAATACACATTCTTCAAGGTTAGGGTTGTCTTTGACTTTGACTTTCATGTCAACGGTTGCTCTCCCTTTCAAAAGTGGCATGTTTTGATACTCTTCTGGGATCTCATACGGGAACGCCTTCACCATGTCCTCTTCAACACTGCAGAAACCCAATAATGCCCCTGCAGTCAATGGACAAGGGTATAAATGAGAAAAAAAAAAAAAACTATTTTCATACCGCATTCTTTTTCATGTGCATTGAACTGAGACTAATGTCAATAGACAAAAATTGTACTTTTTTGTCACGCCTAAGCTTATAAACTACCTTTTGATAAGCTACTTTGACATTATTTATCTAGACTACATTTTATGCATGATTACGTTTGATGCATGTGTCATGTGATGCATTAGTATTACAAAAAATAATAATAATAAAAGTGATACTCACTCTCCAACATACTGCAAAAGCTCTTTCTGTTTCGGTATTACAGCATCACGTTTTCTATCTTCTGCGATTTTTTGAAGCTCTTCCATTCCAACTTCTAGCTTTCCAATCAATTCAATTCCATGGTCTTTCTTTGATTCAGCTAATCCTTCTATAATCATGCTCTTCCCCTGCTTTAGAGCCCTCGAAGCTTGCTTCAAATTCTACAATTCACAACAAAACAAAATCTCATAAATCTTTTGATAATCATTCCAAAAAAAAAATTATTTGGATGTGGTAAACAATATAAACAAATTAGATTCTCACTCTTTCGACTGAATCAAGGGCCTTCACTCCAGAAACCTTAAGACTATCAGTAATGTCTTCGAGAGGCTTCTGAACCTCTCTGATAGCTTTATTATCAATCGGCAAAGCGTATCTCAGTAAAGCTCCGGGATCCTTGATCGGAGGTCCGGATATCAACACCGCTACATCCGGCAACGCCGGAGTAACAGCACCGGCGTTACTCGGGTAGCTCAACGATGGCACCCCAGTTATCAGTCCAATTGTCAAAGCTACAGATAACACACATTCTTTTATCCCAGAAAACCTATCTATCTGCCATAAGAGAAAAGACGAAAGCTCCATTAACATTCAAAATCCAAATGCAATTTATTCGTGTTCTCTATGGAGTAATTGAGAATCAAGGTGTAGAGATTAGATAGTAAAAACCGATACGCACCTGTTTGTCGCTAGATTGAAGTCGATTAGGGTTTTGCGAAGAACAAATAGGTCGGAATCGCCGAACGGAAGCATTGGTGGGAGAATGTGATAGACGAATGTAGTTAATGGAATGTTTATGGTTGTTGAAGAGAGACGATTTGGAATTGGTGAAGAGAGAAGAACAGGAGTGGCAAGAGAAAATCGCTGCCATTTTTGAAGCAAAAGAGGAAAGTGTGACTAGGGTTTTGTTTAGAAATCGGAGGGATAAGGTTTTGAAGGAGAAGACATGGATGAAGGCTCAGCCTCAGGCTATCTAGATAAGATCAGAACATCATCTTCACTGTCCATTTGGATTCTATGAAGGTAGGTAGGTGGGTACTTGGTTTATCAACAAAAGTCGCATTTACCGAATTTACTTTGACCAATAATTTCCAAGTTTTCAAACATACATATAACCATTTTATTCGTAACAAAAAATGAATACTTTTTTAAATGTCTAATCCTACCAATCAAACACATCAAAAAAATGCAATTTTTTTTTGATAGATTCCAAATCCTACAAAAACAACAATATCATCTAAATGTTACGTAAAAGGTTTTTAGCATTTAAAATTTAAATAAAGTTGTAACTCATGGATTTCATGAAAAAGTTAGAATTCTCATATTCACTTCTAAAATAGTTTTTCTATTAAAATGTACTAAATACAAAGGTTTTTCTAACACATTCACATTTTTGATTTTATGCAGAAAAATCCTATTATTTTTGGAAATTTTTTTAATAAAGTCTTAAAAAAATTAACAGAAAAATCTCGATTATTTAACATTTTGCTCAAATTAACAAAAAAATTATTTTTTATATTTGAATAAGAAATGACAGATTATGTGATTTTCTCAAAATAATAGGATTTTTCTGTTAAAAAAAAAAAAACTTTTACGACTTTATCAAAAATTTTCACAAAATAATAGGATTTTTCCGCATAAAACCCTTGACACTTTTAACAAATATATTAACTAAATATAGGAATAAAAGATAGGTGTGTTTGTGCATAGTTGGAGTAAATGAATAAAGTGGAATACTTGAAAGGTGCAAAGTGGATCATCTCAACTTAAAGTCTCATTTATGAAGATAAACTCTCATAATTACTTAGTTTGTTTCTTATTCAAGGATTATGTATTATCTTTGATAAGTTTAGATTCTTCGTTTTACTCTTGGAATTTTGTTTCATTTGATCGAGTTGGGATCTGAGCAAAATTTTCTTATCTAAATATGTGATCTTTTAGAGTAAAAATGAAGAGAAAGATTTAAGTATCTGTTTCTCATTACTGAATCAATAACAAATGAAGAGAAAGATTTAAGTGTCTGTTTCTCATTACTGAATCAATGACAAAGAAACTTACATTTTATATTAAAATGAAACTAACTGACTAAACGATTCTAACAAACTACTAACTAATTACTTTTAACTAAAGTACAACATTGCCCTTCGTGTGTAAATTACAAAGACGACCTTCTATTTCATGCCGAAAATTTTGAGTGAAAGTTCATTTATTCTTTATTTTTTATTTGTATAAGTTTTTATATATATCAGTAAACAACTTTGGTTTGCGAACCCATGAACGCAAATGTTTCACATCATACACTATTTTACTTTTGTGTAGTTCACAAGTTGACGCTTATTATGAGCTCATAATTTTTGAGTTACAACTAATGTATACGTGTTATACATTTACTTCAAACTTGATTAATGTTACTTGACGTGTTAATAATCAGATGGATATATAAATCCACTGCTGATTCTAATATTATGATTTTGTACGCTTTTGAGTTCAAACCAAATAAAAGATTGTTATAATAACGCATGCATTCATTAAAAATAAGTGCCCATGCTTTTGATTGATCCGCAGCAGATATCACAAATCCAAAACCAAATTATTTTTAATTTCCATAATTAGCAAACATAACTTTATTGATTCCCTCATGCATGTGAATGGGGAACTAATTATATAAAGTAGGAGGCCTTCAACTTCAAGGACACATGGGTCTTCCAGCAAGAGTTTTCATATCAGTGTAGCACGAACCACACATCTCCCTGTTTCCATATTGTCCCGGTGGAACACAATTACAACGATGGCAACACGCCATGCAACTTCGATGGCATCTGTCTTGCTTCAAGTCTAACTCGCACCTTAACTCACATGATGAAAAACATTCTACGAGATATGATCCATCATTACAAATTATTAAACAGGTATTTTATGGCTCAGGATTGAATGAAAATGTTTAGTCGTTAATTATATTAGTACGTACCTTCCGAGTTTAATGGTGGCTTGCCGATCAACGGTGGAGCATTGGTGCAAGGTGGTGGGGGGCTAGCCACAATAGGGTAATAGGGAGGAATACTTGGTGAGGGAATATACGGAGGAAAGATGGATGGACTGGGAGATGGTGGAATGATTGCGGGTGGGAAATTTGGTGGTGGCGTCTTGGGTGAATTTGGAGATGGTGGAGTGATTGGCGGTGGGATAAAGGGTGGTGGTGTCTTGGGTGAATTGGGAGATAATGGAGTTGAATTAGTAGGTGGTGGAGGTGTGGTGATGCAAGGTGGTGTCAGTGGAATAGTTGGAGGTGGAGTGTTGGGTGGATATGGAAGCGGTGCAGGTGTTGGTGTCATTGGACTTGGTGGTACACCAGGAGGAGGAGTTGGTGTAGGTGAAGATGGAGGGCTGGGTGTATATGGAGGTGGTGGAACTCTGGGTGTCCCAGGAGATGGTGTGGGAGAAGGTGGAGGGTTAGGTGTATATGGAGATGGTGGAACTGTTGGTGTCAGTGGAGGTGGTGGTGTTGCACTAGGAGCTGGGTTAGGAGGTGGGGTGATGGGTGAATAAGGAGATGGTGGAACTATTGGTGTCACTGGAGGTGGTGGTGTTGTACGAGGAGCTGGGTTAGGAGGTGGGGTGATTGGTGAATAAGGAGATGGTGGAACTACCGGTGTCGCTGGAGGTGGTGGTGCTACATAAGGAGATGGGTTAGGAGGTGGGATGATGGGTGAAAAAGGAGATGGTGGAACTATAGGTGTTATTGGAGGTGGTGGTGCACTAGGAGCTGGGTTGGGAGGTGGGGTGATGGGTGAATAAGGAGATGGTGGAACGATCGGTGTCATTGGAGGAGGTGGTGTTGCACCGGGAGTTGGGCTGGGAGGTGGGGTGATGGGTGAATAAGGAGACGGTGGAACTATCGGTGTCATTGGAGGTGGTGGTGCTACACCGGGAGATGGGTTGGGAGGTGGAGTGATGGGTGAATAAGGAGATGGTGGAACGATCGGTGTCATTGGAGGCGGTGGTGCTGCACCGGGAGTTGGGCTAGGAGGTGGTGTAATGGGTGAATAAGGAGATGGTGGAACTAGCGATGTCACTGGAGGTGGTGGTGGTGCACCACGAGCTGGGTTAGGAGGTGGGGTTATTGGTGAATACGGAGATGGTGGAACTATCGGTGTCATTGGAGGTGGCGGTGATGCACCTGGGTTAGGAGGTGGGGTATTGGGTGAATAAGGAGATGGTGGAACTATGGATGTCACTGGAGGTGGTGGTGGTGCACCACTAACTGGGTTTGGAGGTGGGGTTAGTGGTGAATAAGGAGATGGTGGAACTACCGGTGTCACTGGAGATGGTGGTGTTGCACCAGGAGTTGGGTTAGGAGGTGGGGTGGTCGGTGAATTTGGAGAAGGTGGAACTACCGGTGTCATTGGAGGTGGTGGAGTTACAATAGGTGGGTTAGAAGGTGGATTGGTTGGTGGATATGGAAGCATTGGAGCTGGCATTGGTGGAGTTGTGCTGTTGCATATACCTGGAGCAATACTAGGCGGGTTGCTCGGAGTAGGAGTGACAATGGGTGGCTGAGGGTGTGGCGGATAGATTATCGATGGAGTTGGAACGGGTGTCGGTGGATTAGCAGGTGGTGTTGCTGTAGGTGGGCAGACTGTCACCGATGGGGGTGAGGTGGGTGAAATAGATGGTGCTGGAACAGGTACAAGTGGGCTTGGAATCGGTGGAGGTGTATAAACTGGCGGAGAAACTGTGGGTGATGGCAGAGGTGTGGTGGAACATGGTACACCTGGAACGACGATGGGTGAAGGGGTGATCGGTGGTGGGTAACCGACAGGTGGCGTGGTGGCGTCAAAGGGAGTGGTATGAAAAGTGGTGCAGCAAAACCCACATGTGTAACCTGTAAGAAAAAAAAGTCCCTTTAAATAGACATGTTTTCATATTTAAATATAAAATAATTAATGTATCATATATGAAGTTATTATGCAAACATGATATAAATGTAGACAATGTACAAACATCCATGCATATCTGTGTTACAACCACTAAAAGCATCGGATATGGAGTTATGCAAACATGATGTAATTAATATTAAGTATAATAATGCTAGTATGCAATGTGTTTTGCCAAATGTATGAAACTACAAATTATAGTAAAAATTTATTAATCATTTTGTCTATTGTGCCCAAATTATGACAATTCATCATTTTTAAGTGACTTGATATTGTGCATTTAATATTGTACATCGTGCATGAAAATTGTCCATTATAATAGTGTTATTGAATGAAATATCCAAACGTGACTTAACATTCTCATATCCATACGAACATTTAATTTAGCAACTTAAACTTTTGTACATTATGCAAAATAGCGTTTATTATATGCGGTAAATTAAATCAACTTATACATTATGCAACAAAACTTGACAGTTAACCTTGAACCTTGTATGTTATGCAATTGAAACTTGTACATTATGAAACTATTAACCTTAAGCATTTGATGAAATGTGCAAAATCTACAAGATTAAAGAGGGAAAAACAAACTTACAGAAGTTGCAACCAAGAGAAAGAAGACCAAAAGAAAACAATGAGACTCCATGGCTTTGAAAGTAAAGTTTGAGTGAGTGAAGATGGTGATGATTCGAATGAAGGAGATTTCGTGATGGTATATATACAAGAAAAAAGTGAATGAAATGCATTTACTATGGTTTATAAATGGTTAAAACTTCTAAAAGTTTGAAATTTCATTTTTTTTCTTTCTTTCTTTTAGACTCCCATACCCTATAGTTATTACCAAAGAAATGTACGATAAAAAATTATGGTCTAAGATATAAATTTTGTTTATTCGACAGAAAACAATATTATCAGAGCTTGATGATAGATTTTTATAGTATTATTAAATTGAAAAATAAAGAATATATATAGGTATGATGTATGCATCATTTACGTTTTAGTAATGATAGTTTAAACACATTGTTATAAATTTAGAGGATAAAAATTGGCATAAAATTGACGTAGTAAACATTTAAAATTGGCATAAAATTAGCTTACAACTATCAAAACGATTTTGATAAAAACCAATCATGAGGTTAAAATGTATTTAGATGTAGTTAGACAAACGATTTCAAGTATTGTGTGTAGGATTAAATGGAGGAAAATAAAGATATATTTTCTTTATCTGTATATTAAACCATTTTATTATTTATTTCTATAATAAAACTATACTTTATTTTATTTTATTAAGGTGTTGTATTTTTCAATTTACATAATAAAACTATATTTTATTTTATTTTATTAAGGTGTTGTATTTTAAAATTTACCTAGTGGTAACTGTTTTTATTAATATGTTATATTTTGAAAAAGCTAGCTAAATGTACCAAAAAGAGTAGACTGTCTTGGAATAACATTATAAATTTTTTTAAAAAATGTTATAATAGGAAATAATAATAAAAAAATACAAATCTATAATATATATATCAAGCAAAAAAGAAAATATTACTCATTTTTATATTTAACCCTTGCATTTATAGTTTTGATGTGAACTAAATAGAAATGGTTATATTCACTTGACTTAAAAAAAATTAATGTGATTATTTTCTTATTTAGGCAAATTCAATAGTTCCATGGTAAAATCCATAAGGTCTTTGACTATTTGGTTTAAGATATTAAGAAAAGTTAACTTCTATCATATTTACCAATATAAAATGTAATCAGAGTATATTAAAGTTTCCTTAATTTTAAATAATATTTTTTTGTTTCATTTATTGGGTCTGAATCTTACATTTTTCATTTCAGATTATATATTTTTGTATTTTCAAATATAACTTAGCAAATAAGTAAATATATTAGCTGATTTGAATAAATAATATTTTCAGAGAATTAACAACAATACATGAATAAATAATCGAGTGCCATATTTTGATGGATTTCAACTCACACTTACTGTGAAAATTTACCCCAAATTAACGAGAGACAAGTCACATGCATATGCACATCACATGCACCATATGCATGTGGCATACATACTGCCTTATATGTTCCTCCTATTGTCGTATGGGTATGGTCACAAAAGTCTTTATTTCTTTCCTTTTATTTTTACATGACATGTAAAAAAAATTACAATGCTAGACCCTGCTTTATTGAATTTAATGTCACAAATATGGAAATAAGACGTGTAATAAACTATAATGTTAGGCCATTTCTTAATTAATGCCACAAGAAATAGAATAACATGAATAACATGAAACCTTTAAGGCTTAAATATATAGCATAATATAAATACCTGATCTGTATATGATTTTGATTAGGCAATGTATTCGTTTTGTCTATTTTAGGCAGTATATTACTATATTTTATAACATTAACATGTTAATGATAAACGTAGAATATGATTCTATTTCACATATCATAACTAAATATTTATATGTAATATATAAAAAAGTTAAAGCATCTTACCATTATTAACATAGAAAAATGTTGCTGTTTTATAAGTTTAACTAAATCAATAATCCATAAAAAGCAATTACTTGTGTTTGAAATGTTTATTAATTCTAACTATGTATAGAATGGGTCAATTTTCAAAACATGATGGTTTATTATATATTTATATGTTTGAGGGGCCAGTTTTAACAAAAAAGAAATAAACACACCTATATATATACATACATACATACATACACACATACTCTAAACTCTGCAATTTGGGTTTTCCATAATTAAATCAATTATATAATTTTGAATTAATTTTGGAAGCTTTAATATAAGGTGATTGTGGAAAATAAAAAAGGTTGTTACAACTTAACATTTAGATGTCGATGGAATTAAGACATTGTCATCGGCTTTATTAAGATATTTTGGACTTAGATAAGATGATGGGCTTGCATGATATGTAAAAGAGTTGGGCCTATACAAGTTCGAGCCTATTAAAATACCGGCCTTAAATAACTTTTGAGATTTAGTTAAGTAATTGATTATGAATTAAATCAGTAGTCTTTCGGTATGTGTTTTTTAAATATTTAAACGATGGTGATCTTATAGGAAGTAAACAAGGTACGTAACACTTACTTAACATTGTTAGTTTGTTACCATTATTTTGGACAGAATGCATAAAAGTAAGATGTTAGAGTTGGTAAGTTTAAGACATTTATGTGCAACATTTACTTAGGGTATCCACTATCCATTCAACTTTTCAAGAGTTTAATGGAGTGCCAACTAGGAGAAAGAACTTATAATTTCTTAAAACCCCTATAATTTTACACTATAAATCTTATGATGCGTTCAATGAGCATGTAACTCCTTTTTTCTCTTCAATATTATATTCAATTATATTCTATTCAACCCTCATTGAACCCGCTCTTAACATTGTTACCTTTATTTTGGACTTAGAATGCATAAAAGTAAGATGTTAAGAGTTTCGAAGGTAAGTTTAAGACATTTTATGTGAGTAACTAGTGGGAATGTCTTGTGCATAGCGACAAATTTCTTAATTTTATGTGTTCGAATGATTATAATAATACAAAAGATGGATATAAAACAAATTTAGAAAAACAAACAAACAAAGACAGATGTTAATCGAAACTAAGACCCAAAGCCGGCCCAATTCATGGGCGAGTTGGGCGGAAGCCCAGGGCATCAAAAAGGAAAGGGGCATTATTTTAGTCCATAGCCTTAATATTATAGGTTTTTGGCCCAAATATTTCAGCATCTCCTATCACTTGTGCCGCTTCTTAGGAGTACGATTCTATCTTCCCAATCGTCGCCTAGAAAGATGAAACGTCAGGATGTAGAAGACGAGGGCTCGATTGGTTTTCCCAATCGTCGATTGGCTCTTATTCAGTTACTAATCAATTTTTGTCAAAACCTAAATTTCTATAAACTCTCCTCTCTTATCTCTCAATTTCTATAAACTCTCTGCTCCTGTCTCTTGATTTCTGTCAAGAACACAACTTTACTCTTCCGATTTTTATAACTTTACGGATATTTTTCATCTATGTGATCTAGAACTCATTAGAGTTGGAATGGAAGTATTCTCCTGTTTGGTTCTTATTATAGATGATTATGCCCCACTTGCTATGGAATTGCTTGGTTATCAATTTGCAGCTTAGCTTTTCTAGATGCCATTTTTTTCTCGTCTAGTTTTTCGTTTTTGGCTTTGGAATTCTACCCAATTACGGCGTAATCCTCACCGCATTTTGGTTGCTTTGGCTTTTAAAGGGTTTTTTTTTCATTGTGGACGATTCTGCCCTTGATGGTCTAGCCCCTGCTCATAGAGGTGTATTTAGTTTATGTTGTCAATTTGAAGTGATCTAGAGTTTGATTTAAAATCATACAAAAAATATAGCTCGGCTGGACAATTATACCCTTGGAATTGATGCCCCTATGAGACTGATTACGTTAATTGGGTGCTGCTGCAATTCAAAAAAAAAAAATTGTTCCTTGTTCCCAAACTCGATAGAGGATTTATAGAGTAATTGTTTTATTTTTGAGATTGTATTACAAATCGTTGATAGTAGATTTAACGAGCATTTGTTTCATTTTTGAAATTATATTACAAATTGATGATAATGGATTTAAAGAGTAATTGTTTTATAATTTTGATATAATATTAACATTTAAGATAGTGACATGGTAATTTGTTTGTCACATTTTAAACTTTTAATGTATCTAACTAGGTTACAACCCGTGGAAACCATAAGTAAAAGATTTATAAAATTTTATTAAATTGATATAAGTTTTGTTTAGACTTTTATATTGATTATTGAAAGTAATATATATTTTATTTAAAAGTTGTATAGAAAACATGTAACTGCATCGAGAATGCAAGTAATAGCAATAACCTTTCATTTAGGCATCACATATTCAAAATTTTCCAACAAACCTTAAGCATTAATATAACCTTAAGTTATTTCACACTTTAGACATCACATCTATCTATCCAATTTGCGATGCATTACCTATAATTTAACAATGATTAGGAAAAAAAAGCACTAATAACCTAAGTTCAAAGTAAAAAAAAAAGAATCCATAAATTCTAAGTATAACCCCATTTCGGGAAGAATAAACCACATAAAGTCGTAACCAAAAGATTTTACATGCAAATTAAATACTTGTTGTTAACTATTTACCTGAGTTTTTGACCAAATAAGTGTTTTTTAAAAATTTATTTACCAAATAAGTATAGTTTCAAAAATATTTACCAAACATGTGTAGTTTCAATATTTTACATTTTTCTAAAACTTTCATCTTTTATTCTATTTTTAATATATATTTTCTAAACCTTTTTTTTATACTTTTCACTATTAATATAACTTGTATAATGACCTTTTTTAATATATTTTTCACATCACAAGTATTATATGTAATACACACCACTATATATTTCACCCATCCTACAGGTTCCTTAGGTATGCTTACAATTACACATTCATATGCTAAAATGAATCACATTGATTCCACAGGGAGGCTCCAAATCACCAACAAAAATTGTTGAAGATGATTCTTCTATTCATCAATTCTCCTTAAAAAAATTTGCTTGTCTTTCTACTTTCAACCGTAATATGTTTACAACACCTTCCACAACAAAAAATTTAAAACCATTTTCAAGCATGACATTTTCCTATCCAAAATTCTCTTTAGAATCGTTGTCAAGCATGACAGATTAAAGAATGGCAAGAGATTTAAGTGGAAATTAAAGGAACAA